CAAGTGCTCTACCACTGAGCAATAACCTCAGCCCCCCCTTTTTGTAAATTTATTTATTATTCTTTTATATACATTGGTGTTTTGCCTGCATGTATGTCTGTGTGAAGGTGTCAGATCTTGGAGTCACAGACAGTTGTTAGCTGCCATGTGGGTACTGGGAATTGAACTCAGGACCTCTGGAAGAGCAGCCAGTGCTCTTAACCACTGAGCCATCTCTCCAGCCCTTGAACTTATTTTTTTTTTTTTTTTAAAGATTTATTTATTTATTATGTATACAGTGTTCTGCCTACATGCATGCTTGCAGGCCAGAAGAGGGTGCCAAATCTCATTTCAGATGGTTGTGAGCCACCATGTGGTTGCTGGGAATTGAACTCAGGACCTCTGGAAGAACAGCCAGTGCTCTTAACCTCTGAGCCATCTCTCCAGCCCCCTTGAACTTATTTTTAATGATTTATTTATTTGTATTTTATCTGCACTGGTGTTTTCCCTGCATGTGTGTCTGTGTGAGGGTGTCAGATCCCCTGGAACTGGAGTTACAGACAGTTGTGAGCTGCCACGTGGTTGCTGGGAATTGAACCTGGGTCTTCTGGAAGGGCAGCCGGAGCTCTTAACCTCTGAGCCAACTCTTCATCCCCTAAACTTGTTTTTAATTAATTAACTTTTTCAGGATGGGAGAGTGAACCTAGGGTCTTACACATGCTATACAAGTGTATACTGCTGAGCTATATCTAGGTCTTTTTTTTTTTTTTTAAATGAAATAAAGTCTTGGGCTTGAAAATGGCTCAGAGGTTAGGAGCAATTGCTGCTCTTAAAGAGAACCTAGGTTTGGTTCCCAGCAACCACATGGTAGCTCACAACCCTCCTGTAACTCTAGTTCCAGGGAATCTGATGCCTTTCCTCTATCCTCTGACACCAAGCATGCACGTGTTGCACATACACAGATGCAGACACTCACATATACATATAAAATTATATATAAAGAAAAAGAAAAGTCTTTGCCCAGGATGGCCTTGAACTGACTCTAAAGTCCAGGCTGACTTTGAACATGTGTTCCTCCTGTTCCAGCCTCCTGAGTAGACAGGCCTGCAGACCACCAGGCCCAGCCTTCTCTTTTGTTTAGTTACTTGTTTGGTTTTTGTTTTTTAGAGACAGTCTCATTCTGTAGACCAGGCTGGCCTCCAAACCCAGAGATCCTCTCCTGCCTCTGCTTCCCGAGTGCTGGGATAAAAGGCGTGTGCAACCACACCTGGCCTTGCTTTATTTTTTTAAATTTAAGGCAAGGTCTCGCTGAATCACCCTAATTGGCCAGGGACTCGTTATGTCACCCAGATTGGGTTTCATACTCGCAGTCCTCCTGCCTCAGCCCGCCACAACGGATGAAGGCTGTAAAGGTATGGTTGTCGCCTCCGGTGAGGGTTACAAACGTGTCCTATGCCTCTCCATCTTGAGGACTGAACTCAGCGCTGCCCTAGGCGTTCATCCCTCCGACACACTTGGGCTCTGGGCGGCTGCGCGCCGACCTCCTAACCCCTTGCAGGGCACGCTGGCAGAACGAAGCTACCGCGCCCAAGCCCCGCCCCGGGAGCCCGCCGTCTGCTCCGCCTCCACGCGCCGACACAGAAAGCGGGGTCCCCACGGGGTCCCCCACTGCCCTCCTGAGGCGAGCCACGCAGGCCTCGGGTCCTCGGAGTCGGGGCGAGGGCTCCGGCCTGCGGGAAGACTTGGCGGGGCCGAAAGGCCTGGAGCCGAGACTCACCACGGGCCCAGCGAGCCTTCCCGCGGCGCCGCCATCTTGTTGTCTCGCGGTTTCCCAGGCGACCAGGACCCGAGCACTTCTCATTGGCTAACTCCGAGAGGCTGGCTGACGAACCAGCGGGCGACGAAAGCGGGTGCCGCCGACTGTGCCGAATACTACCGGCCCACGGTGAAGAGGAGCTGCTCCGGGATACTTCAGATCCCAGAATGCATCGCTCTGCGAGGTCAGAGGTCAGAGAGCTTCCTTAAGGCCTAGATTTGAGTTCAGGTCTCTGGATCTGAAGGTATGACGCCCGACACTGTCAATATTGGGCTAAATGAATCTTGGGAGAATAACGTTTCCTTTGTGTCTCCATCTGATCACGCAAAGATGAATTGGACTGATGCAGGGTGCTTAATAAATATTTAAATCTGAGTTTCTCCTCCAATTTATGGACTAGCTGATGCCCTAAAGGAAAGTTCTAATTCTAGTTCCTATGTGGAAGAATTGGGAAACATACCCCACTCCCAGTTTGTAAACAGTTTCCACTCCCCTGAGCCTCACAGCTAGACAGCGGGTAAAGGCGCTTGCCGCCAAGCCTGAAGATCTGAGCTCGATCACTGGCACACATGGCAGGAGGAAACGACTCTGGGGGTAGTCTTCTGACGTCCACACAGACACTACCCATACACACACACAAAATAAGTTACTAAAGCGGGCGGTGGTGGCACACATCTCTAATCCCAGCATGTCAGGGACAAGGACAGAATCTCTAATTAGTGGAAAAATACAGAACCCCCCCCCCCCCCAAAGGGCAGGGAACTAGATCATCTTACACTCAGGTTGCCTAGCAACAGGACATTGAGTCAGAGCCCTTGACCTTTTCACCCTGTAAACATCCTACACAAACATCCTGTTAGCTTGCCCCACCCTATGCAGATAACAGCTTCTTGCTCCCCCCACCATGCAGGAACTATATAAACCCTCCTGGAGAAAAATTAAGTTGCACCTTGATCAGAATCTTGACTTGGTGTATTCCTTTGTGTCTCCTGTCCCTACATTCCGTCCTTAGGGTGGTCGAGTACCCTGTTGAAGCCCTGCTGGCTGGGGCACCAGCACAGAAGCAGGCAGAGCTCTGTGAGATCAAGGCCAACCTGGTCTACAGAGTGAGACAGCCAGGGCTACATACACAGTCAAACCCTGTCTCAAAAAAAGATGCTAAATAAATATTAAATAAGAAATAAAATTAGACTGTTAATATTCTGATCCCACTCTTGAAATCCCGCCCCTTGGCACCACCCTGCATCCCGACATTAAAAACCTCATTTTAAGGAAAAACCCTCCCTTTCCTCTGGCTCTTCACTCTCCTTCTTCCCTGCCGTGAGGTGCGCACACCTCTGCTTTTCATCTCCTCTCTTCTCTTCCTCTCTCTCCTTTCTGTCTCTTTCTCTCTCTATTATAATAAACTCTTTCCCCGCAGATGCAGCACCTTGGTTGTGAATGAATGTCGCTGTCGCCACCACTGCCGCCATGCCTGCATGGTGTGTCTTGCCTGTCCCCCACCTCTGCATCTGCCCTGCATGCCAGCATGTTTCCCTGCACCGCGCAGGATACCCTCAGGGTCCCAGTGCAATATCCTAATGCTACCGACGCAAAAGGAACTAGCGACAGTTTATTTAGGACCGCACACTTTGTCCTCAGTGTGGACACCTTGGACACATTTGCGTTTCATTTCCTTTGCTTGTAAAATGAAGATACTGCCTACCTGACAGGGTTGCTGGGATGGTTGAGTGATGTTAATGCAAAGTACTTAAGAAAACACCCGAACAGATGTTTTCCAAAGTATTTCTTGCCAGGCAGTGGTGGCACAGGTCTTTAATCCAAGCACTCTGGAGGCAGAGGCAGCTGGATCTCTGAGTTCAAGGTCAGCCTCGGCTACAGAGTGAGTCCCAGGACAGCCATGTGGATCGAGCACCCGTTGGGGGTCTAATGCCAGATATCCTGCATATCAGATATTTACAATATGATTCATAACAGTAGAAAAATTACAGTTGTGAAGTAGCAACACAATAATTTGATGGTTGGGGGTCCCCACAACATGAGGAACTGTATTAAAGGGTCACAGCAGTAGGAAGGTTGAGAATCACTGCTGAGCTCTCCTCAGAGTCACTTTCCCAACCCTTGTCACTCAGTGTACCATCCTAGAGACCCTGGAAATCTCTGAGGTCGTCAGCTCCAAATAACCCTTGAGAGCTAGGAGACCTTGGAGACCCATCTGCATAACTGCCACACTGCCCAGCATACCCTCTTTACTTCTGGGATGGAGCTCCACTGCTCTCTCTGCTGGCTGCCTCTTTATCCCGTCCACAGTCTGAGTGCCTATTCTTTGTTCTTTTTCTTTCTTTCTTTTTTTTGTTTGTTGTTTTTTGTTTTTGTTTTGTTTTGTTTTTGAGACAGGGTTTCTCTATGTAGCTCTGGCTGTCCTGGAACTCGCTCTGTAGACCAGGGTGGCCTTGAACTCCTGAGTTCTGGGATCAAAGGCATGTGCCGCTGCTGCCACCACCACCACCACTGGCTGAGTTTCTATTCTTGAGTGGACAGAATCTACTTGACTTTTAGGTCATTTCCTGAAAGATGCTTATCAAGTCTGGCTCCTTTGTGGTTAAGTTTCTTGGACGCTAGCAACTCAGGGAGGAAGTGAACAAAGAGAGGGAGTCTAATTCTAAGTTTATGGAGTCCCTTAGAATAAAACCTAGCAGCTGGGTCGGCGGTGGCACATGCCTTTAATCCTGGCACTTGGGAGGCAGAGGCAGGTGGATCTCTGTGAGTTCGAGGCCAGCCTGAGCTACAGAGTGAGTTCCAGGACAGGCTCCAAAGCTACACAGAGGAACCCTGTCTCAAAAAGCCTAAATAAATAAATAAATAGAAACTAGCGCTAAATCTCCTTCCCCCTCTTTGCCACCCCTACAGCCACCACCTCCGATGAAGCCTTTATGTTCTAAGTCCTGTCCTCTACTCTCCTCTACTTCCAAGCAGCATGCTCCTTCCCAAGTGTGGGACACCTTCCATTGCTCCTCTAGAATCCCTCTCTTTCAAGAGTCCACTCAGATGCCCCTCCTCCAGGAAACCTGCTCAGATGCCCCTCCTCCAGGAAATCTGCTCAGATGACCCTCCTCCAGGAAACCTGCTCAGATGACCCTCCCTCCTCCAGGAACCTGCTCAGATGACCCTCCTCCAGGAAACCTGCTCAGATGACCCTCCCTCCTCCAGGAACCTGCTCAGATGCCCCTCCTCCAGGAATCTGCTCAGATGCCCCTCCTCCAGGAACCTGCTCAGATGCCCCTCCTCCAGGAACCTGCTTAGGTCCTTCTCCCTGCCCTTAAGCAGACCTATATTCTACTTTAAAGCCTGATACCATGATGACCTTCCCATTCAGTTTTGTGAACTACAGTGACCCCTCCCATAGGCAGTGGCTATGAAAACCTGAGGGAAGAGTCCCTTTCTCATTCATCTTGCCCCAGCTAGTGGAGTACTGTAATGCCCTCAAGTGAGCAACCCCCCACAACAAGACCACCAAGGAGCCAACTTCCTATGTAAGAACAAAAGGTTTCATTTATTCCAGCCTAGGCAGGGACCTCCCCAACACCACTTTATAGTAGGTGAAGAGAGGGAAGGCCCCCAGCACTCACTTTAAGGGGTTTATATAGGAAAGGGTCACATGCAGAATTTTACATATCTCGGGGGCTAGGGATGAGGTAAACATAAGGTTACTAATTGCTAACAGGATTCAGGGTATCTATAGAGACACAAATTTTTATTCCCTATGTCCTGCTTTTATTGACACATTCAGATTTATTGTTGCAGTCCTACACTCTCTTGAGTTCAACTTCTGGTCAATCAAGCCCATTACTCCTTGTATCTTGTTTTGCCAAGTCTAGGATACACAGATTTATTATCCCAGCCTTATCTTTCCCATAGGTTCAACTTTTGGTCAATTCAAAAACCGCTGGTCAGTAAATACCTCTAGAGGAAGAAGGGGAAGTGGAGAGAAACATCTTTCAAGATGGCTGCTAATTTCTCCCTTTCAGTACCAATAGATTGGAAGAGTAAGTAAACAAAAAGGTGGGTGGATGGATGGATGGATGGGTGGATGGATGGATGGATGGATGATTTACCTTAATAGAAATTTGAAGGCAGCCTGGGCTACATTGTGAGTTCCAGGCTAGTCTAACTACCAGAGTGAGATCCTGTCTCAAAAACAGCAGCAACAAAGATTTACCTTGACTGTTCCATGGTGCTATTAAGTTAGTTATACTTCTCTCCGTGAAAATTAAAATCTTAGGGCAGATCACATGATCACATGGTAACGTGTGCTACAACACCCTGCCCTGCTTTATCCCAGTTCATCATGGACAAGCAAGGTACATAGTGAGTACTTGTTCTGTGTGGGCCTGTGCTAGGCCCTGGGGACAGTTATTAAAGAACACTGTGCAGCTGTGCTTGGTGGCATAATATTACATGCCTGTGATCCTGGACTCACGGGGCAGAGGGGAGAGGATCACAAGTTTAGGGGCAGCCTGGGCTACACAGTGAGACCTTGTCTCAAAGAAGGATTGGGGAGGAGGAGAGGGGCAGGGGAGAGGTATTCTCCCCCTCCCCCATCTCCTCTCTCCTGCCCCTCTCCCTGCCCCTAACCCTTGAGAGAGAATGCTGTGCAGTTGGGATGGGGCGGCAATCTAAGGTGTTTTGTGTCCACAGGTCTCCACCAAGTCTGAACATGAACAGTTCCTCTCAGTGTCCAGTCCTGACCACTCATCTGGATGCACTTTCTCCCTTTCTCTCTTCTTGCATCTTGATTTCTTCAATGTTTATGGAGCCCGGAAATGGCCAGTCTTTTTTGTCTTCCCCCTGTGAACATCAGCTCATGAGTAGAGACCTCGTCTTTTTGCTCACTGCTGTAGCCCCATAGCCTAAACGGACACCAGGAGCAGGCAACAGCAGGTAGTTGAGAAACAGTGCGTATGGCCAGTGGTCTGCCTTCCACATTACTCGTATCCAGTCTGAGGTTAACCCTGTCCACTGTGGTTTTCTCTGCTAACACTGTATTTCTCAGTTCTGAAATCTGCATTTGGTTCTTTTCTCTATTTCAGCTATTTTTTGGTTTGGGTTTGGGTTTTTTGAGACAGGGTTTCTCTGTGTAGCTTTGGTGCCTGTCCTGGATCTCACTCTGTGGACCAGGCTGGCCTTGAACTCACAGAGATCTGCCTGCCCCAGCCTCCCCAGTGCCAGGATTAAAGGCGTGCTCCACCACCGCCCAGCTCGGCTATCTTGTCTTGTATGTCTTTGAATAGTGCAGGTGCAGTTGCTGAAAACTCATATTGATAATTCTATTATCTAGACCCTCCTCTTGGATGTTTGTCCTTTTCTGTTTTGTTGTCATGCTGTCCTCAATCCCTGTGACGGCTGGGCTGTTGTTTCCTGTTTCACTTTTGTGCTGGCTAATCTTATGTCAACTTGACACAAGCTAGAGTCCCCTGCAAAGAGGGAACCTCAGTTGAGAGAATGCCTCCATAAGATCGGGCTGTAGCTGGGCGGTGATGGCACATGCCTTTAATCCCGGCACCCACTTCGCTGACTTCAATTTCTGGAACCTGTATGGTGGAGGGAGAGGGCCAACCTCTGTTCTCCATATGTGGCCTTCGGGAGGTACCTAGGTTTAGAAGAGGTTGGGAGGTTGGGCCCCAGGATGGGATGAGTGTCCTTTTAAGAACAGGAAGAGGGCTGTTGGGATGACCAAGGGGTTTAAGGTACCAGACTCAAGAACAGGAAGAGACCAGAGCCCTGGTCTCTATAGTAAGGGAGGACGCAGAGAGAAAAAAGAACCACAAAAATGATTATTTTCCTCTTTTGAAGGTACAGAGTTTATGGCATCCTGTTAGATGAACCTGAGCTACAACAGGAACCAGGGAAACAGTTATGTCATTAAAACTAGGTTCAGCCAGGCATGGTGGCGCATGTCTTTAATCTAGCACTCGGGAGGCAGAGGCAGGAGGATCCCAGTGAGTTCCAGGCTAGCCTGGTCTAGAGCACTAGTTCCAGGACAGCCAGGGCTACACAGAGAAACCCTGTTTAAAAAAACAAACACCCCCCCCCAAAAAAAACCCAAAAAACAAAAACCAAACAAACAAAAAGATCCAGCAGTAAGGTATTTTCTTAATTAGTGATTGATAGGGGAGAACCCAGCCCTTTGTGAGTGCTTCCATCCCAAGGAAGCAGACTGAGCAAGCCATGAGGAGCAAGCCAGTAAGCAGCACCCCTCCATGGCCTCCGCATCAGCTCCTGCCTCCAGGTTCCTGCCCTGTTTGAGTTCCTGTCCTGACTTCCTTTGAGGATGAACAGTGAGTTCTGTAAAAGAGTAAGCCAAATAAACCCTTTCTTCTCCAACTTGCTTTTTGGTCATGGTGTTTCATCAAAGCAATAGAAACCCCAGCTAAGACCATACCTTCACCCTGCCACCCAGAGGCCAAGTGGTGAGCTTGCCTGCTTGTTTGGGTCTCCTTTCTTCTTTCTTTCTTTTTTTTTGGTTTTTGGAGACAGGAGTTCTCTCTGTATAGCCTTGGCTGTCCTGGAACTCACTCTGTAGACTAGGCTGGCCTCAAACTCAGAGTTATCTGCCTCCCGAATGCCGGGACTGAAGGCGTGGGCCACTGCTTAGGTCTGTTCAGTTTCTTAGGTATCTTTTCTGGAAGAGAGAAATACTTTCAGGAGCGAAACATCCCAAATGCAGCCTCCCTGCTCTCAGCCCATGCATTCTTTTCTACACTGGTAACTCCTCAGTATAGAGCCAGGGCTTGTCCATAGTAACCAGACCAGTCAGTGCCAAGGCTTGGCAGTGGGGGGAAAGTGGACACTTTAACGTTCACTCATTCTTTCAGTGGTCCCTGACACCTGTTAGTCCCATGTCCTACCCTCTGATGGGTTGGAGAGGTAACAAGTCCTAGCCCAGATCACAAAAGGCAGTACAATCTTCTGCGGTTGTCTATTGATCTGTGTCTTGTTTTGTTTGAGACAGGGTCTCCTGTAGCTCAGTCTGGTCTCAAACTCACTATGTAGGCGAGGATGGCCTCGAACCTCTCCTCCTCCGTAGGGCTGAGACTACAGGGTTGTACCACCACACCTGGTTTTATGTGCTGCAGGGCATGGAAACCAAGCTCTTAGGTCTTTGAGGGGAGTATCTTCCGAGCACAGTAGTCTTCAGGATAGCTGAAGCAGCTCTTGAAGGTGAAAGGACACCTCCCTCTTGGAGGGAGTTTCACAGAGGAAGCGGAAAGTTTCTCTGGGCAGGGGCTTTGGGTGTGAATACTGGGGAAGGGCAGAGGAAATGCCTGGTGTCATTTCCTGAGGCTGAGGCAGCCAGGGCAAGAACAAGCAGGGGTAGGTGAGGGCTAACTAGGAAGTGGTATGTATGTACAGGGTAGTGGAGGATGTTACCAAATGAGGTATGAAGCTGAGGAAGAAGGCTGGGGTAGGGGGTGCTTGGTCATTATACTGAGGAATTTGGTCTCCATCCCTGAGGAGAGGCATGGACTCTCCTGCTTTGTCAGGGCTCAGGAGTCCACCTAGATAAGGTGTCTGATGGAGCACAGCTATTGGGAGGTCAAGCCTGTAATTCTAGCACTAACTTTGCCTTACCCTCAGTTTTCCCATCTGTCAAATGGGGCTTTCTTAGAGCCCTCTCAGCTTGGCAACCTGTCTTCTGTTTATTCAAATACTGTCAAGACAGAATGTAGCTGCTCAGAGGCCAAGAGAGGAAATGTTTGAAACCTTACTTCTTTTCTTGGTTATGGACAGACAGCAGACATCTCTCCATGTCCAAGCCCTCATGACCCTTAAAGATGTTCCCAGAACCCTGATGTCCCGTCCCGTCCCGTCCCACCCCACATTACACCCCCACCAACGGTAGCGTCACCTCAGACCTCACATCTCAGGATCTGAAAAGGATACTTTGGGTATCAAATATCATGGGTTCAATACCCAGGGCTGGAAATATAACTAAATAAAAATGAGTTTTTATTAATTAAAAATAACTAAATAAAAATAAGCCAGTCAGTGGTGGTGCATGCCTTTGATCCCAGCACTCGAGAGGCAGAGGCAGGTGGATCTCTGTGAGTTCAAGGTCAGCCTGGTCTGCAAAGTGAGTTCCAGGGCAGCTAGAGTTGTTAACACAGAGAAACCCTGTCTTGAAAAACCAAAAGAAAAAAATAAATAAGTTTAAGGGGTTAGTGAGATGACTGGACGGGTAAAGGTGCCTGCCGCCAAGGTTGGCGACCTGAGTTCAATCCTCAGGACCCACACTGTACAAAGGAGCAAACCAACTCCTGAAAGCTGTCCTCCAACGTCCACACACACACAGTGGCACGTGTGTGCCCCACAGTGATACTTTTTAACAAGTTTACATCCAGGCTGGAGAGATGGCTCAGCGGTTAAGAGTGCACTGGGGCTCAGCCCTGCTAGCTTCTTTTCAAAAGTGAGGAGAAAATTGTCCAGTCGGTGGCCAGTTTTCGGCAGGACACTCTTGGGTTTTGGCACGGGCCTCTGATTTCCTGCTGCTGTGTACCTGCTACTTCCTTGGCTCCCAGGCATCCCAGGAGTCACCTCTCCCTGGGAGAGCAGGTGAGAACCTTCGGGACTGAGGGTAAAGAGCAAAGAAGGAGATCTATGGGAGGGGGTGACTGTCACACCCCACCTCCACTTCCTGCCTCTCTCCCTTAAGCTTGATTCTCACTTTTTTATTCCTCTTAGCTTTATCACAGGAGATCAAGGTCCCTAAAGCCACCCAGGTTTTACCTAGGCTTGTGACGAAGGCCCTGACCCTATAAGACAAGACCAGGGGAATCCCCTTCACCCTGTGGCACACAAATACAACGCCAAATAGACGAAGCCAGAGAGAATGGGTGAGGCAGGAGCTGGGCTGCTGAGCCAAGGAATCAGGATAGGGAGTCAAGAATTAATCAGGGACTGGGAACTACCCGCCTAGTTTGTGTGAGGGCCTCAGCATCACATTAAAGGGCAAACAAAACCACAAAAAGGACTCCATCAGTGCACTCGAGAAGAGCCCTGGAAGTTCCATACATGGCTTAGGCATCAGACAGACCTGGACTCAAGTTCAAATGATACATTGGTTGTGAACTTGGACAAGTCATTTTTTTTTCATCAGCCAAATGGAGATAATTCTTTCCCAGCATCACTGAGACCGCAGTTGTTGTTGTTTTTTTTTTTTTTTTTAATAAGTTAGAGCACTATCCAAACAGTCTGGGGGACTCTCCCATAGTGCTGCCTCATCCTAGTTCCTGGGTGCTAGCCTGCGTTTGCCTGCTTGTCCTCACGGCGGTGCCCACTCATCCCTCCCAGAGTGCCATGAATAACTTGGCTCCTTTCTTCACCCAAATCCCAAAACACGAGGGCCTAAGAGACTTCAGGAAGGGGCTGGAGAGATGGCTTAACAGTTAAGAGCACTGGCTGCTCTTGCAAAGGACCTGGGTTCAATTCCCATCACCTACATACAGCCAGCTCTAGCTCCAGTTCTAGGGCATCTGATGTCTTCTTCTGGCCTTCCCAGGCACCACGCATGTACATGATGCACATATGTACATGCAAATGAAACACACACTTTTTGTTTTTGTTTTTTTGAGACAGGGTTTCTAGCCCTGGCTGTCCTGGAACTAGATCTGTAGCCCAGACTGGACTCAAACTCAAGAGATCCACCTGCCTCTGCTTCCCAAGTGCTGGGATTAAAGACGTGCACCAACACTGCCCAGCCCCCCCAACACTTTTTTTTAATTTATTTTTTCAAATATTTATTGAAAAATAATCCACTTGAGGTGAAGAGCCTGAGGCCCAGAGGGAATAAGGCCTGACTTAAAATTAACCCATCCTCAACACCCTGTCCTGAATCTAAGTGATCCTGAGCTTTTGCAAAACTGATGGCAGTATCCACCCCACTCTCTTAGTTCCTTTGTCTGTTTCTAGACAGGCCTAAGTAGCACAGGCTGGCCTCAAAGTCACTGTCTATCTGTGGCTGCCTTTGATCCCTCTTCCTGCTTCTACCTCCCCGAGTCCTGATATTACAGGAACTCAGTCTTTCTACCATTTATTTAACAGTTTCTAGTGTTGGGTATTATTACTACACAGGGGGTTTTGTTGATTTGAGACTGGATCTTACTATTTAGCTCAGGCTGTCTTGGAAATCACTATGTAGACTAGGCTAGCCTTGAACTCGTAGAGATCCACCTGCATTTGCCTCTCAAGGTCTGGGATTAAAGGCATGCTTCCACATGCCTGGCTAGTACTCTTTAAAATAAATAGTGTGGCACTCTCCTTTGATCCCAGCATTCAGGAAGCAGAGACAGGCTTGTTGTCTCTTTTTGTTTCTTAGTGATTTATTTTTATTTTATGTGCATTGATGTTTTGCCTGTATATATGTCTGTGTGAGACTGTTGGATCTTCTGGAACTGGAGTTACAGATGTTAGCTGCTATGTGGGTGCTGGGAATTGAACCCAGCTTCTGTAGAAGAGCAGCCAGGGCTCTTAACCATTTCTCTATCCCCTTGTTGGCTCTTTTTAAAATAAGTTATCACCCAGCAGGGTGATGGAGGCCTGTAATTTTGGCACTCAGGAGTCTGAGACAGGAGGATCCTGAATTTAAACCCAGCCAGAGTGATAGAGACCATGTCTTAAAATATATAAATAAAATTAAGGATTATCACTGGTGTGGTGGTGGTCCACGCCTTTAATCCCAGCACTTGGGAGGCAGAGGCAGGAGATCTCTGTGAGTTTGAGGACAGCCTGGTCTACAGAGGGAGTTCCAGGACAGCCAGGGAGGGCTACACAAAGAAACCCTGCCTCAAAAAAATAAAAAAAATAAATAAAAATAAGGATTATCACTGCATTTGATCCCCCAGCATCTTCTCGCGCTCTCTCTCTCTCTCTCTCTCTCTCTCTCTCTCTCTCTCTCTCTCTCTCTCTCTCTCTCGTTAAAGACTGAGGTCGAGTTGTCAAATGACGAAAGCAAACTTGCGTGGCCCGGACATGGTTCCAAGCCCAGGCAACGCTGTGCACTGCCCTCTTCTCACCCTCATCTCCTGCCTGGGAAAAGTCAAAATTCAGCTACCAAGTCTTGGAAGCTTGAGGCTAGTTCCATCCACCCACACGTTTGAAAGAAGGTAGCTCCCTTCCCCGCCCCCAGGCCCGCCTTTGCTCCTCCCCTCACCCTCCCTGTCTCCTCTGCCTCCTAGTTCAAAAGCATCCAAACTCAAAGAGGCCTGCAGACAGCCCTGAGCTCATCTCTCAAAGCTGCTACCGGAGCCCAGGAAGATCCAGAATGAACGGCTTCCTCCTCGTCTTCACCATCAGTCTCCTGGTGGCAGTTCAGGTAAGGACATTCCTTAGACCCCTGCCTCCAACACCAGGCCTCTACTGATGGGCTGGGCTAGGGTCAGGGAGGGAGTGCAAGACCCTGGGGGAGCTAGTCTTCTACCACCAGGACAGAGCTAGATGGTCACCAAGAGACCACCTGGGACACCAGGAGGGCCTGTATGCCTGGCCTTCCACTCCTCTTAGCCACCACAGACTGCCCTCGGGGAAGCCCATGGTCCCATGTGGGGAAACCTCATAGGATGTCAGCTACATGGAGGCCCTCAAAGGGTACTGTGCAATTCTGTTGAGGAGAGCTGCAGGAACAGTCCTTTTAGCAGGGGTGAGGAGGTGGCTGAGAGACTACCGCAGGAGGCAGGCGGTCCCTGCCCCTGCTGTGGAGAAGCCTTCGTGTGTGGGACTACAGAGACGGAAATCTCTCAGTCAGTCTCTGAAGCACTCTGGGAGGCAGCCTTCGTGGCACCTGTGTGCCCAGAGGGACCTGGTTAATAGAGGAAATGGAGCCATCAAGTTCTTGATCAAGAACATCTCGATCAAGCATCAAGGGCAGTTTGATTGGCACCAAAACTAGTTTGATTCCCATCAAGAGCAGCTTCAGTTGCTGCCCGATCAAGCATCAAGGACAACTTGTCACATCTGGTCACTCTGTCAGTGCCCTTTTCACCCAGCCCTGGCTCATGTGACACTCCAGGCTATGATGGACTCTTCTTGACAGGAGACACACTGGAGTACCACAGACCCAGAAGCACCCCCATGTCTCTGGTAGGGGGAACCCTTCCTCAGGCTCAGGTCAAGGATGGGTTTCTGCTTCTCTCTGTGCTGGAGAACCTGGTGGCCTGAAACATGACAGGAAATTTCTGTGGGGATAGGAGAATGACAGGGCCAGAGATGGCTTCATCACTGCCTGTGATGAGGCAGGAAGCCAGACATCCCAACAGGGCCTATGATGGAAGCTTTCTGGAGGCCTAGAGTTGGGGAAAGGCACTAGGGGGGATGAGTTCTTTCCATGAGGTTCAAAGCCTCCTGAGCCCCACAATTCTCTTGTAGATACAAACAGGAGTCTTGGGACAGAATGATACCCAAGCGAAGCCTCCGACTCCTGCTGCTGGCATCACTATCAAACTCCCTGCAAAACCTGCAAAGGGTGGAGCCCCATCACTCATCAATGTGGGTGCCTGCAGCTTCTTCTTTTTCGCCAACACTTTCATGTGTCTCGTCTACCTCGGCTGAGGTGATGATGTCGCTTCTACAGCCCTGTGCTCCTCAAACAGCTACCACCATCAGTAGCAAGAGACCCCCCAACCCAGTCCTTGGAAAGGGTTGACACCAGAGATCCCAGGAAGTTAAAATTGATGGCCAATGGCCAAAATGGGGAGGTACTAATGGAAGGGGCCAAGTAATACCCAGCTGGGGCTCAATAAAGTTATGCTTATGCTTAGAAGGGACCCCACATGTGGTCACTGGTCACTACTGATCCCAGGAGTCACGTGTGCAGCAGCATTAGGAGCTTTGTGTGGTCATTGGCAGGGAAGGTGCTACCAAGGCACTCCCCTAGGTTCCTACCTTAGAGTCACCTTGCAGGGACAAGGACAGGAAACTTTGTTTCACTTGTGCCTGAGTATTTGGGAGGGGTGAACCCAACACCCCCCCACACACACACACACACACACTTCTCAGGCCCTCGACACCTCAGGTTCAGACAGTCTCCCACCCCATGACCTAGGTGTCTTCATAATGACAGATGCGGGGAAATCATAGATTATTTGGCTCTGTCTCTCTCAACATTCCCAGCTGGAGTATTGTCGACCCAGGAGCACCCCTATATCTGGGAAGGTTCACGGAAGAGCATCTCATGAGTCACCTGCCCCCATGTCTTCTATCACAGGGCTAGAGGATGAGGAGGCAAGAGTCACCACCCACACCCACAGCCAGAGAAGGCAGGAAGGACAAGCAGCTCCTCTAACCATGCGCCCCTGCTGGGCCTGGGGCTGGTGTTTGGAGCTGAAAAGCGAGAAGGAAGCCCAGACTGGTCTCCAAAGGCTCCTGCCTCTGTGTCTTCCCAGGAACCTGGGCCAACGGAGGACTAGGAAGGGTAACTAGGATGACCTGACCTGTCACCTAGCTAGGGACCCAGCCCCTTCTCCTGGCTTTTCTGACTAAGGCCAAACCTTCAGGCTTTGAGATTTGAGTTGGAAGAAGCAGGGAGGAACCCAAGGACAAGGCTTCTTGGGGTGTCGACCCCCCTCATCTCTTGCCATGCCCACTCACACACTGAACATTGAAGTTTTCACCCTTGGACATATCTGTAATCCTAGAATACTTTGCTCTGCCTCCTCTGTCTGACTTGGCTAACTTCTCATCCTGTGTGTCAGCTAAGGGTGCTTCTTCAAGAGAGGAAGCCTTCCACTTCTGCGCCCTGAACACCCATCAGAATCCTGCTCTGAGATGGGCAAAAGGGACTCAGTTAATGGTTGTGCCCCGCCCCCACAGCCAGGGAAGCCGAACCGGGTGACACACCAGTTAGTCTGGTTCTGGAGCTCCCTCTGGTGATGAGGGGAGGCCGTGCAAGGAGGGAAACCAACCTGAGGAGGGGCCAGAAGGGCAACGGGGGTGGGGGGGTAGGAGGGGTGAGGGGGGTGGAGGGCCATCTTCCTCCTTGGCAAGATGCAAAGAGAGATGACAGCGGCGTGATAGAAAACAGCTTATGTTACAGCAACAATCTATAAAAAACATCTCATCCCAGCAAAAGTCTCCTGCAGCAGGAAACTGGCAGTGAAGCTGTTCAAAGTACGTGAACAGTCCAGATCTGGGAAGGCCTGTCCTTGGTAGGTTCCCAAAGCACCACATGGTCCCGGTCATAACCTCGGCCACCTGAGGGTGAGATTGAGAGGTGGTTAGGGTGCTGGAGACAGCAGTGTTCCCCAGTCCCCTTGGGCGCCCCCTCCCACACACATAGCCTACGTTACCCTTCACATCCAGGATCTGGCCTTCAAACATCTGGCTGCAGATGTGACCCAATTCACTGATGCTCCAAGTTTGGCGTGGTAGGCGGCTCTCGGCCCATAGCACTACTTTGGAGCCTGGACTAGGAGGTCCAATCACCTGTAGGCTCATGGTGGGGGCCATCTGAGGCCCCAGAAGATCATCAGATTCTGCATTCCCCACAGGAAACCTCCCATGCTCAAGCAATCCTTCATACACTGGATTGTTGTTGTTTGTTTTGTCGTTGGGACAGGGTCTTACTCTGCAGCCTTGGCTGGCCTGGAGTTTACTATATAGACCAGGCTGGCCTTGAACTCATAGATATCCAACTGCTTCTGTCTCCTGAATTCTGGGATTAAAGGTATGCACTGCCATGCCCAGCTCATAAACTGGTTTTGAATGCTGCTTTTACAATTGTGGTCCTAGGCAAGTCTCTTTATCCCTTTTTAAATTTATTTTATGAGTGTTTTTTTTTTTCCTGAATGTATGTCTGTGCACTACATATACACCTGGTGCCCACAGAGATCAGAAGAGGGCATCAAATCCCCTGGAAAATGGAGTTAGGGATGGCTAACTCCATTTTTGTTACAAGCATCATTTTTGTTCTGGGAACTGAACCCAGGTCCTCACAAAAACAAGTGCTTTGAACTGTGTGCCATTTCTCCAGTTTGCGTGAGAAAAAGAAAAGAGCCCCATTCTCTATTTCCTCCATGCATCTTGGATCGAATCGGCCTTCAACTTCCCAAAGTAGGTTGGCAAACCTGGAGCTGAGCAGAACCAGTTCCGGAATCATACCTGGTTCTTCAGCAGTCCATCTTCATAGTACCAGACGCAGCTGCCCCCGGCTCGGGGCTCAGAGACCACTACACGGCCTGCTTTCATGTCTTCCACGTGGTCAGGCACTGCCAGGAATCCTCCTAGCGCTGCATTCCAGAGGCGGAAATAGGCTCGGCGCTGATGGTGAAGACAGGCTGAGAGACTGAATGCAGCCAGGGATGGATGCCCACCCCCCCCCAACCCTGGACCCCCTAGGAGACCCACACCCCCAAACCCTCCTTGCCTCCAAACTTTTCTCGACCCTGCTTCTAAGTCATACTTTTTTTTACACACTCATACTGAGGGCACATGTGTAACACATGTGCATAGTTCTGTGACCACAGACACCTACACATGTACCTAGGGACCCTTGCAGATATACTTGCAGTCCGCAAGGAGGCACAGTTTACAGAAGGCACGAGCAGTTCCACAGGTCCATGCAGTCATCACATTCATACATCATAACTGACACAGATCCTATCAGTCTGCTCGGTGCCAAGTACCTATGCTTGCTCCAGGTACAGCTAGCTGATTGTAATACAGACAGACAGACAGACAGACACACACACACACACACACACACACACACACACACACACACACACACACGGAAACCACGATCCCTGGAGCGACAGTGCTTGCCCAAGACTGCAAATCAACTCCTTGTCTACTTCCCTGGGCCTTTATTTCCCCCCAAGTCAGACATATTTGCTAGGATTTTTTCCAGAATTGCTGTCCTAAGAGTCTGTAAACAAACAGACTAAACACATGCCCTCATACATGGATGTATATGCTCAGAAGGCTCTCAGGCAGAGGCATGAGCAGGCACACACACACACACACACACACACACACACACACACACACACACCCATGCCCATACACACAAAAACATACAAATCCCCTCCAGAGTACTTAGAAGCATGACCTCAAATGACATACTCTTAGATGGGCACATGTATATGTGCATACACACACACAGACACACAGGCCACAGCCATATCCTAGAAATATATGTGTGCAGAAATGAAGTCAACTTCTTGACAAGCAGGTACAGACACGCACCCTCACAGGCAAGCTTCATGCTTCCCAAAGCCAAATGTGCCAACCACTGGTAAGTGGTACATGAGATGATTTTCAGTTCTGGGTCAATCAGCCTATTGCATATATCGTATGGTCCTTGAGGACAAGGACAAAGTTGTTTCGTTTTCAAGTTGATTTAGAGGAATCTACTGAGATGACAATGTACGAAGAAGCTAAGGACAAACCGTGACAGAAGGACACAAATGTCAAGCTTTGAAACACCCAGAGGTACATGGGGACAGGCATCCCCAGAGGCACTCACGCTGACTGCTACCTACCTGCTTGATGGGGTAGAGGGAGCCCACCCTCTGGGTACCACTGTAGGTCAGCCAGTTGGTGATCTCGCAGCTACCCACTAGCCACTGTCGTCCCCGGAAGTCACTGTGCTCACACACTACCCAGCTGCACCCAGCCGATGCCAGAGACACAGAGGAACACAGACAGACAGACAGACAGACAAGGCACAGGTGTTAGAAGCACTGCTTCCTCTTCCCTCACACTAGGAAGAGGGCCCGCAGTGGGAGGAAGAGGCTAATAAGTAGATTTGGGGTTTTGGGGACCCAGCATCCAACCAAGCCCTGAGAGCCAGAGGCCCTCAGTCCACACTACTCTCCCTCCTTCCTGGCCTGGAGTGGGGTCCCCAGCCCACCGTCCACCCAACCCTGCCCCCCCCCACTCACACGCCACCCTTGACGCGCACAGACAGCACATGGTTATTGAAGCCCTCAGCCTGAAGGCTTCGAACCTCCGCGGTCAGCTCGATCTCCTTGCCCTCGAAGCACTCCAGGCCGAAGAGGGACAGGGAAGGCTCTGAAAAGTGCTGGGGCCAAGAGAAGGAGAAATGAGGCCATGAAATCCACCAGCTCAGGCTCTGTCCTACAATCCCAACCCCAGGCCCAGATCTGCAGGCCTCCTAGCTCCTGAGGATATTACTATCAGCAAGATCCCCAGATTTTCAGTCCCAGCACGTGACAGACTGGCACCTGCTCAACCCAAAATCCTCTCTTTGAAACATTTCTCGCATGTATTATTTTATTGTATTTTTGAGCAGGGATCTCACTAAATTGTTCAGACTAGTCTGGAACCCAGCGTGTTAGCATAGGCCTTAGCTTCGTGAGTCCTGGGGTTCCGGCATCACTGTGCCGGCACCCCTAAGAACTAACGGCCAGGCTGGAAAACTGGGGGCTCATTTGACATCATCTCTTGTTGAGATCATCTCAATGATGATAACTAATAATCACATCAATTAATAACCAGCCTCCTTTAATTGTGGTTCACTGCAGGCCAGATCCTTGGAAGAACACTTTTTCCAATCTCATTCCAGCCCCTCAACAACCCGAAGAGGCAGGTGCTATCATGATCTCTGTTTAGCAGAGAAGACACCGAGGCTGGAGAAGGTGAGACCAAGGACTTGAAGGCCCAGGTCTGGGCTCCAGACCCAGGTCTACCTTAACCGGCCTCAGAGCCCAGTGTATGTGGTGGTAGGGGCTCAGGCTGCATAGCCAGGCAGCTTACTCTGTCCGCTCCCAGCTGTGGAACCTGGAGCAAAGCAGACTGGCTCTGGGACTTAGTTTCCACATCAAAAATAATGACAACAAACCTTACAAAGCTTCGAAAAGGGCCACCCAGCAACTGCCAGCACTCTCCTGCCTCCACAGGCACTTCCACCATCACAGTGTACATGGGGCTTCCTCCCAGGAACAGCATATTACCTCTATTATGGGTCACTGAGGCAGCCTCCCCCTGCCTTGCCCTTCCTGCCTCTCCGCTGCAGAGCCAGCTTCCCAGTTGACCCTGACAACCATCTCTGAATGGGCCACCAGCCGGGCAAAAGCTGTCCCTGCCCTCCCTCTCAGCCACTCTGAGTGTCAGCCCCTCCCACCCCAGCACTGTCACTGAGCTGGATACACCACTGTCACCTTTAGGTCTCGTATCTAATTAAGTTTTCAGTGAATGTTCAGTAAACAGCTGGTCAGTTGAGCTGGCTTAGGAGCCTCAGAATCAAGGTCACCCTGAGAGTCTGGAAGCCATTGCGGGGACAGAATAAAGAACTCACCAAGGGAACCTTCCGGAGAGAGCCCAGGACCGTGGAGGCCAGGCAGCCCATGGCTGTGAGAGTGGGGAACTCTCCCTCTGACACAATGTGCTGGTCGGCCTCAAAGTTCTTCTCCTCAAACAGGACCCAGCTGCAAGGGAACAGACAGGGGAAGGTGATACCAGAACCTAGTTCAAGGCCAGCCTGGTCTACAGAGTGAGTTCACAGGACAGCCAGGGCTACGCAGAGAAACCCTGTCTCAAAAAACCAAACCAAACCAAACAAACAAAAAACTACTAAGTTCCTGCCAACTGTGTGTGGTGTTTGTGTGTGTTCTCCAAAGCGAGGCCAGGCTGCCAGACCTCTCCCCGCCATGTCTTCAGCTAGACAGATTCATGTAGTCTAAAAGATTTGAGTCGTGAAGCCTGAAATTTGTCTTCTGACCTCAGGGCCTTGGCCATTAGCCCCAAACCAGCTGGCAACCCTCCGTTTCCAGACCTTCTTCCTCCTGCATTCCTGCGCATCCAGAATTATAGCTCGTCAGATAAAACTATTCAGCTTATTTGCATTAATTAATTAATTATTGGGACAGGGTCTTACTATGTAGCCCTGGCTGTCCTGTAACTAACTCACTTTGTAGATCAGGCTGGCCTCGAACTCAGTGACTGTGCCTCCTTGAGTGCTGGAATTAAAGGTGTGCACTACCATGC